CGTAACTCTGCCTCAAAAAAAAAAAAATATGCTTTTAAAAATATGTGAAAATTAGAAAAGAAAATGTTAACCTTCCCACCCAAAGACAATGGCTGCCAACATTTTGGTGTACTTTTTTCTGGAGTGTTTTATCTGTGTATTTCTTCTATTGATGTAATCATAAAGGATCTGTTCACTTGTCTCTTGCTATTTAATGTATTTTTAGAGCTTTGACACCTGTACCTAATATCATGTTTAATGAGCACGTATTATTCCATCATATTGACATGCAATAATTAACTCCTCTTCCCTTATTATACATTTGTTTCCAATTCTGTATTATAAATATGCAAAAAATGTCATTGTGTATGAAACATTTCTTTATATAGGATTATTTTCTTAGGATAGATTTCCACATGAGCAGAATTACTGGATCAGAATGAATGAAGTTTCGATACGTGTTGCCAACCCACTTTTCCAAAGATGATTTGAATTTTCACTGCTGATTTATGAGAGCACCTCAACCTTCTCTCTCTCTCCAGAATTTTAAAAAAGAAAAACCTTTGCCAGTGTGGGAGGTGGCACATGGCGCTTCATCCTTGTTTTAGTTATAACTCTCCAGGTAGTAGTGAGTGTGGGCATGGCTCCATGTGAGTGATGAGAACCTCAGTCTCTTTATCATTGAGGCTTGGTGTTTTTCTTGATGATTTTTTAAGTTTTAATAAAGAAAAAAAGGTTGGTCCTTTCGCTGCCATGTCCCCTAATTTGCTGTAGTTCTTTCAATTTGGCTACAGTGTTTTTTTTTTTTTTTTTTTTTTTGATGGAGTGTCACTCTGTCATCACCCAGGCTGGAGTACAGTGGCACAATCTTGGCTCACAGCAATCTCCACCTCCCAGGTTCAAGTGATTCTCCTGCCTCAGCCTCCCGAGTAGTTGGGATTACAGGCATCACCATCATGCCCAACTACTTTTTTGAATTTTTAGTAGAAAGGTGGTTTCACCATATTTGCCAGGCTGGTCTTGAACTCCTAACCTCAGGTGATCTGCCTACCTCAGCCTCACAAAGCGCTGGGATTACGAGCATAAGCCACTGCGTCCAGCCTTCTTTTTCTTTTTTAGAGACAGAGTCTCGCTGTGTCACCCAGGGTGGAGTGCAGTGATGGAATCTCAGCTCACTGCAGCCTCCGCCTCCCGGGTTCAAGCAATTCTCGTGCCTCAGCCTCCCAAGTAGCTGGGACCACAGGTGTGTGCCACCACACCTGGCTAATTTTTATAATTTTAGTAGAGTTGGGGTTTTACCGTGTTGGCCAGGCAGGTCTCGAACTTCTGACCTCATGTGATCCACCCGCCTTTGCCTCCCAAAGTGCTGGGATTACAGACATGAGCCACTGCGCCTGGCCTGTGCTAGACTTTTACATGACCAGCAGTACAATAAGTTCGCTTACACCAGCATCACCACAAACACTAGGCAATAGAAAACTTTCAGCTGCGTTATAAGTTCATGGAACCAGAGACCACCATCGTATATGCAGTCCGTTGCTGACCAAAACTTGTTCTGTAGTGCATGACAGTATTTACTATCTGGATCTTGATAGGAATGCTTTGCCCACCCCAGGCGTGAGACTGGATTATGCTTGTAGGGTTTTCATGCCTCTGGGGCTGTGAATGATGATTATATGTGCAACTTGAAGGAATATTTTAATAGTTCTGTGTTTATTTTGTTAGATATAAGAAGAGAATTCATGATCCCACAGCTATTATTGCTTAGGACAAGGCTTAGTGCAAAAGTGAGCAAGTTCAAGAAGTCTTAAGTGGGCTGGGCATGGTGGCTTATGCCTGTAATCCTAGCACTTTCAGAGGGCAAGGCAGGTGGGTTGCCTAAGGTCAGGAGTTCAAGACCAGCCCAGCCAGCATGGTGAAACCCCATCTCTATTAAAAATACAAGAATTAGCCAGGCATGGTGGTGGGCACCTGTAATCCCAGCTACTTGGGAGGCTGAGGCAAGGAGAATTACTTGAACCCAGGAGGCAGAGGCTGCAGTAAGCCAAGATGGAGCCACTGCACTCCAGCCTGGGCAACAAGAGTCAGACTCCATCTCAAAAACAAAAGAAGAAGTCTTAAGTGGTGTAGGATGACAACATCTGACAAAAGTGAAGAGGAAGCAGGGCAGGGAAATGGCTGTGGCCTGGGACCCCTGGGTTGTGGTCAGTCCTCGGTGCTGGGGAGTGACAGACAGGCCACAGAGACCCCGGTGCCTTCTGATGGTGCCCTCTCCCAACCCAGGCTTTGAGGTGCACCATCACGGGCCTGACCTTAGGGGACTCCAGCTGTCAGGCCAAGGACAGCGGTGACCAGTTTGTCTTGCGCAGCGCTTACTCCAGCTGTGGCACGGTCGTGACAGCAAATATGATCAGCAATGAGGTAAGAGCTGGGGCCAGAAAGGCAGCAGGACCAGGCTGGTTGGTGCCTGCCTCTGGTGCCTCCTTGATCACCCAGGCTGAGGGGTGTTTGGGAGAGCAGGGTGCAGGGGCTCGGCCCACAAGACAAGTTTGGCCATTGGTTGGCTCAGTCTCCCCATCCGCAAAATGGGCGTGTTGGGTGGGATACCCTCTGGGGTCCCTTCTGGCTCTGACCAGCTCCTTGGCTTTGTCTTCACAGGTGGTGGTCAATATCCTGTCGAGCCCATCACCACAGCGGGTGAGATGGACGGTCACATGCTAACCCACCTGGGGGCTGCTGCTGGGTGGGGGGCCTTTTCCTGGCTTGGGAGGGAGCAGGCCTGGGAAACTCCTGGTAAGCCATGTCTCCGGCATGCCTCGGTCTCCCCTTCTGTATGAGGGGAGCAGGACTGTGGAGGGTGACGCTCTCAGCTTCTCAAGTCAGAGGGCTTAGCACATATTGACTGTGTGGCCTTGGGCAAGTCACTTTAGTTTTGTGGACCCAAAGGTGGCCTAAGAAAGGACTCTGCGCCACAGGGCAGACAGTGGGATGCCACGTGGAAGCTCTTCAAACAGCCTGGCACCTGATGCCTCCTTGATAAATATTAGATTTTTTTTTTTTTTTGAGAAGGAGTTTCACTCTTGTTACCCAGGCTGGAGTGCAATGGCGCGATCTCGGCTCACCGCAACCTCCGCCTCCCGGGTTCAGGCAATTCTCCTGTCTCAGCCTCCTGAGTCGCCGGGATTACAGGCACGCGCCACCATGCCCAGCTAATGTTTTGTATTTTTAGTAGAGACGGGGTTTCACCATGTTGACCAGGATGGTCTTGATGTCTTGACCTCGTGATCCACCCGCCTCGGCCTCCCAAAGTGCTGGGATTACAGGCTTGAGCCACCGCGCCTGGCCGCTAAATATTAGATTTTTAAAAAATGTTTTTGAGACGGAGTCTTGCTCTGTCGCCAGGCTGGAGTGCAGTGACATGATCTTGGCTCACTGTAATCTCCGCCTCCCGGGTTCAACCGATTCTCCTGAGTAGCTGAGACTACAGGCACGTGCCACCACGCCCAGCTAATTTTTGTATTTTTAGTAGAGATGGGGTTTCACTATATTGGCCAGGATGATCTCGATCTCTTGACCTTGTGATCCGCCCACCTCGGCTTCCAAAAGTGCTGGGATTATAGGTGTGAGCCAGCACGCCCAGCCAAACATTAGTTTAGTTTTGTTTTGTTTAAAAAAAAATGAGGAAGAGAGTCAGGCAACTCCACAGGGCCATGACCTCCATTCCTCCTTACATCCCTCACCCTCCTGGTTGGTGTTGCTGGACTGACGGAATCTCCCTTCTGTCCTCCCCCAGAAAAAGGTGTACTGCCTCAACATGGACAGCCTCTCTTTCCAGTTGGGCCTCTACCTCAGCTCGCGTTTCCTCCAGGCCTCCAGCACCATCGAGCTGGGGCAGCAGGGCTTTGTGCAGGTACCTGGCAAGCCTGTCACCCCTCAGGCCTCCCAGCTCCAGAACTTCCTCTCTGCCTTTCTTCCCCCATGACTCCAGAGATGAGAATCCCAGTCAGGAGGGAGACATCCTGGGTGCATTGGAAAGGGAGAGACAGAGAAGGTATTGCTAAAGGACACTGACAAGGATGTCGTCCTGTCCTCCTCCTCTGTCCCAGGAAGGCCCATGCCTTTCCTTCCACCGTGAGGACTCGAGTGGGAACTCTTCCTTCTAGCTGAGATTTCAAGGCAGCAGGTGGGGTGGGGTTAAGAGCCACTGCCCATGGCACATGGCCCTACCTATCCGTGCAGGTGAAAATGTCCCCACCGATCCCCGAGCTCCTACTCGAGCTAGACAGCTGCCACCTGGACTTGGGGCCTGAAGGAGGAACCATGGAACTCATCCAGGGCCGGGTAGCCAAGAGCAGCTGTGTAAACCTGCTGTCCCCAAGCCCTGAGGGTGACCCACGCTTCAGCTTCCTCTTCCACGTCTACACAGCACCCATACCCAAAGCCGGCACCCTCCGCTGCACTGTAGCCCTGCGTCCCAAGACCGGGTCCCAGGTGAGTGGGGCCTGGGCTGGGCCCAGCTTCAAGTGGGAGCTGCCAGGACTGTGGTTTGCAGGTAGGGACATGGCAGCCCATGGGGATACGAGGCCAGCTGGTGAGGGGCAGAGCTTTAGTCAGGCACATGGACTAGCAGTCTGGCTGCCAGTGGCACTTTCTGCCACCTTAGAGCTCTCTGGTGGGATTGCTGTGTCTTGGGTACCGGTAAGCTATGCAGCTGCGACTGTCCAACTATCCTTCCACTTATTCTTCCATCTGTCCATCCATCCACCCTCCCACCCACCTGCCACCCTATCCATGGATCCACGCATCTTGCCACCATCCCACCCTGGCACGCACGCATCTTCCCACTGCCCCGCCCGGGCACCCACCCATCTTGCCACTGTCCTGCCCGGGCACCCACCCATCTTCCCACCGTCCCACCGTCCCACCCAGGAATTCAGCCACCCTCACATCCATGTACTATGATCACCAGCATCATTTCAAAGAACAGGAGACCTTAGGGAAGAGACGTGGGACAAAGGACACACACTCCTGGCTTTCTGTATTTGCCAGTCACAACACTTCACCATCTGTTGAGCCCCACTCTCAAGCAGTCTGTCCTGGATGCCCCCAGAGTCACCCCCAGGCCCTTGCACAGACAGGCCTCCAGGATTACAAACTTACCTGGTCACATGAAGCTAGGGAGGCCTTTAAGCCTCCCCTAAGTGGGCCTCTCCCTCCAGCCACAGTGAGGAAGGAGAGGCTCCTCACTGTGGGAGCCTCCTCCCTGGGCTGACCTGGCTTGTAGCTCCAAAGCATTCACAAGGGTGAGGGATTCGTAGTGCTCCCACAGTGCTCCTGGGCATCAGGACCTCCAGGAACTCAAAGGAAACGTTCTGGCAGCAGCCAAGGATCATCCACTAGGTCCCCTCTCACAGCACAGATCTTTCAGGACTCGCCCAAAGGCATCCAGCTAGGAAGCGATGGAGACGGGATTCAAAGCTGAGGCTCTAGGGTGGGCTGGGGTAAGCTGGAAGCTGCCTCCCGAAGGCCGTGCCACATGCTGCTCTCTCCCCACTCCAGGAATTCCGCAGCACTGTCTTCACGCGCTTAAACATCAGCCCTGACTTGTCTGGTGAGCTTCCTCCGGGTATCTCAAGTTTGTCCTAGCGGCTGAGGTCAAAGTAAGGCACAGCGGGCAGCCCCGAGAAACGGCCTGGGCACATAGCACATGGCAGGGGGACCCCAGAGAAAGTGGCCCAGAAGGGGAAGGAGGAGGGCTTCCCAGCGCCCTAGCAGCCTAGAGCAGGGGCCAGAGCTGCACTTTGCAGATGGAGAGCCCTTGCTCAGGACTGCCCTGTGGGGTGGGAGTCTAGGTCTCTGCCCCTACTCACAGCTCCGCTCCATCCCCATGGTTACTGGTTGACCTTGCTGGGAGATTGGAGCCTCCTGGGTGGGACAGAGGCCCTTTGGGGTGGGGGTGCTGGCCTTGCCTTCCTTGAGGCCCCTCCCTGCAGGATGCCCGCTGTCGCTTCTCCGTCAGTTCCCCACAGGCCCAGGCCCACACCAGGGAGAAGAGTCCCTGACACTGGGGGCAAAAGCAGGGGTGAGGGATGGGGGTATCTATCTCTTTGCCACCCCATCCACGCCAGGATGGTGCCTCCAGTCCCAGCCCAGGACCAAGAAGGCAGGGCTAATAACCCCATGACACAGATGGGACCTCAGAGGCTGAAGGGAAGGCCACCTGGCCCGCAGTCACACAGGAGTCAGGAATGTGGAGGGAATGAGGTTTGGAACAGTCCAACAGCAGAGCTGCAGGGCGCTGGGGGCCGCTCTAGCCCTCGCTCTGCCTGCTAAAAAGACCTCAGAGAGGAGCAGGGCTGACCTAAGGTCACACAGCAGATGAGGAAGGGTCTGCACTCCTGAGCCTGTTTCCTCACATTACCGCATCCATTCTCCCTGAAAACGCATCTCTATCAGCCTTGAGGGGCAGAGGCACGACCCACAAGGCCTGGCTGGGCCCTCTAGGTGGACGGTCATAGCAACCGTGGCTCAATGCCAGGCCCGGCTATGATGAGCCCATTTGCTACAAGAGGAGACTAAGGTTCAGAGAAGTTGAGGGTCCATGGCTGAGCAGGGCTGGCACCAAAGCCCACACGGGCCAGTATAACAGGGTAGGGGGTGGGTCAGAGGCAGCAGTGCTGATGGCACCGGCCCTCTCTAGGTTGCACAAGCAAAGGCCTCCTCCTGCCCGCCGTGCTGGGCATCACCTTTGGTGCCTTCCTCATCGGGGCCCTGCTCACCGCCGCGCTCTGGTACATCTACTCGCACACGCGTGAGTACCCCAGGCCCCCGCAGTGAGCATGCCGGACCCGTCCACCCACCCGGGGGAGCCCAGTGAAACCTCTGAGAGATTGGGGAACCCTGGCCAGGACCCTGACCTCCGCCCCTGCCCCTGCTCCCAGGTCCCCCCCGCAAGCGGGAGCCCGTGGTGGCGGTGGCTGCCCCCGCCTCCTCAGAGAGCAGCAGCACCAACCACAGCATCGGGAGCACCCAGAGCACCCCCTGCTCCACCAGCAGCATGGCATAGCCCCGGGTCCCCCGCACTCGCCCAGCAGGAGACTGAGCAGCCACCAGCCAGGAGCGCAGGCGTGAAGTCACCCTGGGAGCCAGTCCTGCACTGGACCCAGGATGAAGCCTGTTCTCTGCGCCTGCCCTTCCTGCCTCCCTCTCAAGAGGCCTGCTGCCAGCAGGGCCACTGGCTTGGAACATCTTGGGGGGGTCTCCACCCCACTCCACAGAACCTTTAACCCAGCCTGGGATACAGCTGCCCAGGACCATGGACACCACTTGCCACACAGTTGTAAAAACCCAATTCCCTGTCATTTGAACCTGGATCCGGCACTGGTGAACCAAGCTGGGCAGGAGGGGAGAAAGCGAAACAGATTCAGACCAGCCCAGCCAGGCCGACGGCGCCTCCCTGCTGGGAACAGAAGCGGGCCCAGCCCAGAGCCACCTGGATCTATCCCTGTAGCCTCCACACCTGGACTTTCCTAACTGGCAGGAGAGACAGGAGCCCAGAGGGTGGCAAGAACAGTGGGCACTGGGAGCCTAGCTCCTCTGCCACACAGAGCCCCCTCTGCTGATCAGGCAGCCGGCAGGGGGAGAATCCAAGCTGCTTGTCCTGGGCCCACCCCTGTGTATTCACCACCAATAAATCAGACCTTGAAACCAGTGCTGGGTTAAGCTGGGAGAAGGGCAGTGACATTCAAAACAGGGCTGGGCTGAGGGCAGAGGATAGGGTTGCTCTTTTGTCCTTGGCCCCCACTGGGCTTGGCCTGGTGGCAGGGGTGGCATCTTGAACAGTATCAGCAGCCAAGGCATAGCAGGTTTCGATTCAGTCAGTTGCCCTCAGCCTATCCCTCGGCAGCACACCACGGGACTAAGGCTGCAAGAAAGGAAACCCCAGGAAGCCCCAGCCACACTCACTCTGGGGTTCTGAACACAGGCCCTTGACTGCTGTGAGTTCAAATCCTGAACCTGCCACTTGTGGGCTTGTGATAGTAGGCACATGCTTCCTGAGGCCAGTCACAGATTCCTCGCCTGTCAAGTGGATATAATTCACATCGTAAGATGGGTCTACAGAAAGCACTGCCTGGCATATAGTCAACAGGCATCAGTCCAGTCTTCTGATGTCACAGACGGGCCACCTGAGGTGCACAGGGAGGGAGGGACTTGTTCCCGGCCACGCAGCCACCCTCCCTCTACACAGCACAGGTCCCTGACCACCTGCAGCCCTTCTCTCCCTGCCTCTGCTGAGGGAGAAGGGGGTCAAGTGTCAGTCGAAGGCTTTGCCATTTTTTTTTAAAAAACAAAGGCTTTAATTCACTTCAGCCACTCTCTGTCCCAGGCTGTCCCAGGCAGAGGCCCTCTCCCTTCCCAGAAGGCACTGGGAGGAGGAAATCTACCACCCAGCACCCAGCAGGACCTGGGGCCTGGCCAGCAGCACACACAATAAGCTGGGCCTGAGCCAGAAGGCGGCGGGGTGTGGGGGAAGACAACCTGAGTGGCCAGGCCACTGGAACAGTGAGAGACCTGGGGAGCCCCCAACTCAGCCGTCCACCATCTCAGCCAGAAGGAAGGGGAAGGAGGAGAGGCCAAGGCACAGAGCCTCAAAACGGAGGACATCCTCTCCCGGCCTCCCATCCCAGAGCCCTGGTCCCTAGGCCAGTCTAGACAGAACCAGGAAAGCAGAGGCACAAAAGGCACCTAGTATGTGAGTTCATGGGGAGAATGCAGGCAGCTGTGGGGGGCTCCCACCTCCAACCCTGGGCCTTGACTACTGGGACAGTGCAGGCTCTAGCAGCTTCAGGACACCACCCACCAGGTGCAGGCTGCCAGTGACCAGCACGTGGACGGCAGCAGCCTCATGGAGTACACTAGCCCCACTGCATGCCACAGGGTGGGTAAGGAGGCTCTTTGGGGAACTGGGTGGCTGGAAGACGGGATCTCGACCTTGGCTGATCCATTGCAAGGCATGTGAAATGCAGCTGAAGACAAGGGAGCTGGTGCTGCTGTGGGGTGGGTGGGGCGCCAGCAGCAGGGATGCAGGCCCAGCAAGCTCCGGGCTGGGGGCGCTCCAGAGGGCCGGGCTGGCCTGCTCCTCATCCAGGTAGTTCCAGTGCTGCTGGTGTTCCAGGCAGCGGAGCAACACCTGGTCCAGTGTCACTGTGAAGTTCTGTTGGTCTGTGGGGCAGAGACAGGCGTGTCACTGAAGGGGAGGAGTAGGGGACAGGGCTGGAGAAGGGGCGGGTGGGCCATGAGCACCTGCTTAGTGCCCAGCCCTTTACATGTGTCAGGCCAGCAGTCTGCTAGGGGTCTTCTCTATAGACACAATGAAGAAACAGAGGCTCAGAAAGGTTCAGTGACTTGCCCAAGGTCACGAAGCAGAGCCAGACGGTCCAGCTCCAAAGCTTTTGCCTACCAGGCACCATTTCCCCACCCTGGCCTCACTGTCTCTATCTATAAAATGGACATCGAACTGGACGCTATCACCAAGTGGGCACAGGTATTTCTGAGGATGCTAGTTAAAAATGCAGATTCCTACCTCAAAACCTAAGTACAATTTAAAAAATTAAATATATGGAAAAAAAACGCAGATTCCAGAAGTCTCCCCAGCTAGACTGATGTGGGGACTGGAGATCTTTTTTTTTTTTTTAGACAGGGTCCAGGGTCTTGCTCTGTCACCCAGGCTGCCGTGCAGCGGTGCAATCATGGCCCACTGCAGCCTCCACCTTCCAGGATCAAGCAATCCTTCCACTTTAGCCTCCTGAGTAGCTAGGACCACAGGTACGTACAACCACACCTGGCTAATTCTATTTTTTGTAGAGATGAGGTCTGGCTTTTAACTCCTGGGCTCAAACAATCCTCCTGCCAAAGTGCTGGGATTACAGGTATGAGGCACCATGTCCAGCCTGGGATCTGCATTTTTTGCACTATTTCAAACTTTTTTAACCCGATACATAGTAAAAAACACATTTTACACAGCAACTCAGTACTCACTCACTTATACATACGCCTGGAACAGAACAGTTTTCACCAAACAGGACCTACCCTTACTTCATGCAATGCACACTGGTATTTTCTATTCTACTCTATTTCATATAAAATAAAAAATGCTGGCTGGGCACAGTGGCTCACATCTGTAATCCCAGCACTTTGGGAGGATGAGGCAGGCGGATCACTGAGGCACAGGAGTTTGACACCAGCCTGGCCAACATGGCAAAACCCCATCTCTACTAAAAATATAAAATTTAGCTGAGCATGTTGGCACATGCCTGTAATCCCAGCTCTTTGGGAGGCTGATACATGAGAATCATTTGAACCCAGGAGGCAGGGGTTGCAGTGAGCTGAGATCATGCCATTACACTCCAGCCTAGGTGACAGAGTAAGACTCTGTCCCAAAAACTAAATCAAGTAGCCAGGTGCAGTGGCTCACACCTGTAGTCCCAGTACTTTGGGAGGCCAAGGTAGGCAGATCATGAGGTCAAGAGATTGAGAATATCCTGGCCAACATGGTGAAACCCCATCTCTACTAAAAATACAAAAAAATTAGCCAGGCGTGGTGGTGTGTGCCCATAGTCCCAGCTGCTCGGGAGGCTGAGGCAGGAGAATTGCTTGAAACCAGAAAACGGAAGTTGCAGTGAACCAGGATTGCACTACTGCACTCCAGCCTGGCTATAAAGCGAGACTCTGTCTCAAAAAAAATTTAAACCAAGTATACTTTGGTGTATAAGTGCATAAGAAACTAAAGCGTGCTGATACAATCAAACAAATTCATCTCCTACCCCAAAACTCCAGTTTGGAAGCTACCTCAGGGCCCCCAGCCCCTCCCCAGGGACCATGCCTATCACCTCTCACCTGCGTTGCCTGTGGATGACACCTCTGTCAGGTTGGGGCAGAAGACGGCATAGTCGAACTGGCAGGGCTAGAAGGCCGAGAGAAAGACTTGGTGTCAGACCCCTGAAAGGATGTCTCCCGACTTCCACATGGCCCCTGAGCCCATATCTCTGGAGATGCAGCCTCCCTCACAACTAGAATCATTCTGTATGAACCCAGCCAAGGTACTTCAGTGCCCCGCCCCCATCTGCCTCAGCATACCCAGCCTGGCCTGTGGGCTGGGCAGTGAAGCCCCAGCCTACTATACAGTTGGGGGAACAGAGGCCACAGGTCAAGGGGACTTGCTTAAGGTCACTCAGATAGTGAGGGGGACCCAAATCCAGGCTGGGAAAAGGCTGTGAGTACATAGGAGAGGTTCTGGATACAGCCTCAGCCTCCTGGTCTGTGAAATGGGAGATGATACCTAGAGGCCACTTCAGCCCTGACAGCTTGGGGCAGCCTCAGTTTCCCCAAGCAGAGAAAGGCCCAGTGACTCCTTCAACCAAACTTGAGAAGCAGGTACTCTTAGCAGCCACCTCATTTTATGGAAAGGCAAACTGAGGCTCAGGGAAATGCCACCTCTCATCCAGGGTGATATGCTAGTGGCTAAAGGGGCATGATAAGTGAGTCCAGAGCCTGACCTTTAGCACGAGGTGGCCCTCCTCTTAAGCCTGGACTTGAGTCTGGACACACGGGAGAATGAGTAATGGCCTGTGACTGGACTCCCCGTGGCCCTGCAGAGCCTGGCGGAAGCAGCACATGCACCTTGTCACATCTAGTCCCCAAT